CTACTACTACTACTCCTACTCCTACTACTTTTGCCATTTCCGGCTCCGGCCGGCCACTTTTTCTTGCTAGTATTCAAACAGTTAGAACATTCAAAACATGCAAGAACCTCCATATGCAAGAACCTCCATAGGCGCAAGAAGGCGCAAGGGCGAGCGCAAGAGCTTTTCAGCACTATGCCCTGCACCTAGGTTTAGAACAGCCCCCATATGTATATGCCTCCCTGGTTGGGTTCAGGCGCAGACCGCTGCACTTTCCCAGCCAAAGATATGTTTGGGGAATCTTTGGTGACGGGTCAAGACCGACAATGGGTAGACTACCAGACATGGTCTCCCAACCAGACTCGTTATTGCAAAAACCGCTCCGCACGGGTTTTGACTCACACGCAAGAATCCTCACGGGCCCAATGGCCAAAACCGTTTGAGGAAGAGCTCCTTCGCGCAACACCTTTGGTGTCCGACTGATGTCGGGGCAGCTCCACCGGAGGAATATCTGGTGAGACTTGGACAAAATTAGACTGTTTCATACCAACAAGCACTACAAAACAACCAGCGGTGTGCCACTCTGGATGATTAAAACCCCTCATATACGAGATGTTTTGCCATTTAGGCCTCAGGAGTCAACCCGAAAGCCGGACATGCGGCCGTGCGGTCAAGACACCACGTCCTGTGGAGGATCTAGTCAGGGGAGGTTGAGCCATAAAGTGAAACCACGACTCGACGGCGTGCGTGCGACTGTTTCTTTTTGCTCGTTGCAAGGCAAGAACTGATGGAGATTTGAACAACTGTTCATAAAGATTGGTGCTGCTGGGTGAACTCCAAGCAGGTACGGGAAAGAGCACCCGTTGCATCCCCTGTCTCAGTCCATTCCACCTCTGGAAACGATCCCCACTGAGGCGGACGGTCCAGCCCACCCGATGTCCAGGCACCCAAAGGGGGCCGTCGGGTGCTCACCGGAAGTCGTTGGGCACTCACCGAAGCGCGTGGCATCGCTGGCTGCGTGGTTTAGTACAACTGTTGGCAGACCCTTAGTGGGTTTAAAAAGTAAAAGACACAAAGACGTCTAGTTGTAATGTGCTTGTATGTTGGCTTGTTTTGGAAAACGGGCCTCCATCCATCCATTTCCATCCATTCTTTCTTCGTGGGGGATCGATGACATGTTTCAACCATTAAAAAAACATGTTTTTGATGTTACCATCAACATGTTTCAGCCATGCTTGAACCACTAAACAACCCAACAAATTATACATTATACAATATTATTGTTTAAATGTTTGCTCCACATCGTGCCTATCTTAATCGCTTTCAACGCCCGAACCGTTCGTCCCCTATATCGATCTAATCGCAAAGAAATGTTTTTTTTTGCAGAAGGTCTCGGTTCCCAAGGATGTTCAACCCTCATCAAACCAAAGAATGACATGAATCCTCTCAACAGCAAGGAGAAGAGACACGCATGAGATGATCACAGGACCATCCATACCAGGACCTTCCAAGTAAGGAGTCACTTGATCGGACTAGCCTACACTGGACTCCCATGCCCGCCCTACTACTTCTGGATCTCCAGTGACACTCCAGTAGGAGTAAAGTCCTGGTATGTACCCAGAGGGCCTTTGTGGCGTTTGATCCCATCTGTGCTACCGTGCAACAATCGACACTCGCACACTGACCGACCATCTCGCTGTCGGCGCAGCTCAAATGGCGAAGATCTTCTGGGAAACACAAGCTTTGCATCAAAGCAGCGGACTGAACGACTTGGGAGGCACGTCTTCACGGCTTTGCGGGAGATGGAGTGGAAAGATGGAGAGGGAAGCGGCAAACTCTGAAGGGCAAGTCCCCAATCAGCACCCACTAAAAATGTCGTTGTTTTCTACTTTGGTTGCACCATTCGGTTCATCCCTATGATATGTCATTACAGCATATGGGTCATCCCTGTGGGAGGAAGAAAGAAACACGGCCGAATCCGGCAGCGCTGCATCTAAGCCGAATGACTGGCCCCCTGTGCCCCCCTGTGGAGCGCTGCTCACGAGGCGTGAATCCTGCGATGCTCCTTTGCATGACCATTGCCTGGATCTTGATCTGGCTCGTTGCGCCTCGTTGGACGTGGAGCGACGGCGACAACGGACCTTCCCGGAGATGATGAGCTCACTAAACCTAAGCACTGGATTTTGATGTGCAGCGGAGACCTCCCGAAGGTCCAGGACCATCTTTTTGGTGGTTTTCGTCCTTTAATTCGTCACTCATTACACAGCTCCTACAGGCAACATGCTACAAGATCTACAAGGCGCTAGCAAGTTAAACAACAAAAACGTGGTGTTGTCCATGTCCATGTTTGCCATGTTTGCTGGGATTTCTCAGCCTGTTCACACATGCGGGTTCAGGGTGGCTTGACGTTCGGGTATTTCGGTGGGCGTGGGCGATGTTCTGAGTATGTTTGGTCGATTCGCTTGTTGACAGAACTTCAGATGAGGGACCAGTTGTCGCGGTTGTCGCTGTTTTTTGTCCAAAGAGCTCGTATTGGAGGGTTTAACTTCAATCCACAACTATACACAACCAAGTTGTGTGGTGTGAGGGTGTGCAAGAGTACTCCGCAGCCGGTGAGCATGGGTGTGGATAATATACACATCGTTTTGGGGCCAAGTTGGTGATTCTTCAGAGCTGACTCTCCGAGGGTTGCATAGGTTGCCAACTGTTCAGCTGTGGCTGCGGAGGCAATAGCAAGAAAGCCTGAACCTATCCTTATCTATCAGGATCATATCCATCATATGGGACTAAGTCCAACCTGTGACTCTACCAAGTCATAAAGGCACCAGCCACCAGCCACTCACCAGGGTTACCTTATTCAGCTCATCCAATTTTGTTGAGTCTTGTATGATCCACCGTTGTCCAAGGTCTTCAATGGCGTCCAGACCAGTGGAAAGGTCGTGTATTTTACGGCCACTTTTCCCTTGTTTCCTGGATTTCAAAGCGAGTGTCTTTTGAGGCGACTGGCGGTGACTTCAATGATGTCCCACCTGGAATGCTTTATATAAACCCAATTGACAAACCCAAGCAGGGACTGTCTGTGATCTCATATTCTTGGGCCACCAGTTTGCCACACACTTAGTCTTGGACCTTTGCAGTGTTTATGCGTGGACACGCTGCGTGGACTGGCTGGCTGTCACTCTGAATCGGCCTGGTTCCAGGAGTGTTGAGAATCCGTACCTGAGAAACCAGTGAGACGGCACAATAGCTTATTCAGAGGTCACCAGTGACGACGTTCCAGCTGAGAAGTTGTTACTGTGGTCCTGGGTGTGGGATGGTGTTGCACAAGTGATGAACTGGCTGGCGTGTGGAAGGGTGTTTGGATGACAGGTTTCTTTCTTTATATGGATATCATGTTTCCGTTGCTTCCTTCCACTCATGACACACAAACAGTCAATCTGTTTGAATCAACCCGAATCAGTCCTTTTGTCCTGTTTCCGCCCAGGCTTGTTTGGCCATCTTTCTTGCTGCTTGGCGCGCACCCTCACCCGACCCACGCCCGATGACCGGCCCCACCGCTTGGGACTGCAGGTGCGCGCGCTGACCTTGCCCAACGCCCTGACAGGGCTACGATTCCTCTTCGAGCCCGTGACTAGGTAGCAGATTCATCCACAGAGCTGTGCTAGATGGCCAACTAGGTAACTAGGACATAGAAGACGACAAAAGACCCGGTAGATGGCTACAGGCTGCAGATCTCATAGATGGCTACAGGACCCGGTTCATGACCTTTTGTCTGACCAGCCATAAACCCAGCCTGTATACGAACCAGCTTGCCATATTTGCACATGCACATATATGTTGTGATGCGAAAGTGTTCGTGACATCGTGATTTGAGGACTATAGCCACCTGGCGGATCCTCAAGTGTGGATCCATGGCGCCGTACAAATCTTCTTCTCCTTAGGCCACGTTCCCTCCCTCGGACCGGCCAGCTGCGGGCGATGGACGTCACGTGACGGGACGGCGGAACGTCCGGTGTTTGGTCCGGTTTGGGCCGAGGAGTTGGTTTTGATGGTTTTTTTCGTTGGCTCCTTAAGCAAGGCAGATGTTTCGATTGGGTTTTGGGATGGTTTGGAGGGGCTCCTTAAGCAGGTGTCCACGGTCGGCTCGCCCAGAGGTGTTCGCCACGCACGTCGATGAAGTGATTGGTGAAAGAGGTTGAATTCGTTTTCGCGAGCAGTTAGGATCCGTTGTGCATTGTTAGAGTTGTTGGCGATAATTGATTGCTTTGCTTTGTTTCGAAGCATACCATTTAGAAGGCTGACCAATTATGGAGCCTCCTCAGAACCCTTTGCCAGAGAAGTTGGTGATGCCACATGTCATGCCACCCCTCCATTCCCGCATTTGGTAGCATGGAACGGGCAATGGCAATGACGAGAATCAACATGGACATTGGCTGAAGACACATTTCTCATGCTGCACACATGTGTCCGTTTCTCTTGTAAAGTCCATCCAGCATCTTCTAATCAGATTCTAATCGATATTCAAAATGTTTAATCCCAAAAAGAGAAAGAAACTCACATCATGTCCTGATAGTTCCAGCTTAAAAGCTGCCAAGTGACCATTTACTGATCTGATTCCACCACCTTTTTTGAAGTGACTTCCAGGCATCGGATATGGCTGCATCATCTCCTTTGGCTCCTTCGGCAAGAAGTCCGCCAACTTCGTGCGCGACGCCTCGGGGGCCACTTGATGAACAGCAGTCGTCGCCGTCGTAGGGCCCGTCGGTCGTCGTGTTCGGTGGAAGGTCCTGGGGGGTCCGGATGAATCGCTTCTGGAACCTTCCTAGTGAATCCAGTACCATCACCATCCAGCCCATTATTGATTTTTAAAATCCAAGACACTCCATGGGACTGGCATCATATATATAATTATATACATTGACCATCATTGACCCCTGCAACCATCCCAATGCAGGACAATGCAGGTACATATGCCATACATGGATTATTTGGTTGTGTGTGTACTCCATATACCTCTCGCACCACACGATCTGGTGAAAAGTGTTGGCGGTATGCCAGCCACTCTGGCTGCACATACAATAATCCGCTGCACAGAAAACGAAAGCAAAGACCTCAAGACTCACAAAAGGCAACACACCAGGACTCAATTGTACGTCCCGGCCCAGAATTCAACATCTTGGCCAATGCAAGAAGGATATGATCCTCTAGCAATGGCACTGCATCTACACTTGCACTTTGGCATACAACTTTCCCCGCTGATTTCACATAGCGAGGATCAACCCTGCAGGATCCTGCAGGTGGCGTACGTGACCCAGCTAATTCAAGTGGTTTCAAAGGCGAATGCCATCTCACAGGCGACCTGGTGGGATTCCCGTGCCCTTCTAGACCTATATAGTGGCCAGTGGCAAGTCTCAGAATTCATCACCTTCCTCAGCTCGCCCCCTTCACCCCCCAATTCACCCGCCTACCTGCTCGCAGTTTCTCCACTTTCTCCATCCCCTCCCCCCGCTTTCTCCCCCTCACCGACCCTATGTTCGGACCCCCTGGCTCGCCCTGCCACCCCCTCCGAGCCAGACCCCCCGGCGACCCCACTCCGCGATCGCAGGTGGCTCTGACGAACTGCGGCACCTCGATCCTCGCCGGCTGCGTGGTCTTCCCCGTCTTGGGCTTCCTGGCCGCGGAGCTCCACGAGCCGCGCGGCCCGAGCGGAGAGCCGAGGGGTGTAATGGGACGGAGGAAGCGTGAGGAGAGGGCGGCAGTGGGGAGTTGGTGCATGAAGGGGATGACTATTTGGCTAGAAAGTGAACGAATCGACCATAAAGTGCATATAAAGATAAACATTTGGGTTTCTAGGAGCCTTGTGACAGTGTAGCCTGCACGCGTTGAGGGACTAACAAAAACATTGAATATAGTGGCCCCATGACTCATCAAACATCTTGCCCAAAGTCAATCCTTTACTTTGGACACCAGTACAGACAGTGCTTGCGCGTGCTGGCGCTTTTTGACGAAGGAATCAACGACGAAGGGACGGAATCAGCGCTAGCTGGTGCTCATGCGGGAACCAAGGGGCCAGTGGTATCAGTATATTCACCATTAGACGGAGCCAAGGAACTACAGGAGTTCTCCAATCCGCTCAACTGAGGACAGACCCTTGCATTGCGGGTGATAGCTTGGAGAGTCTCAAGTCCATTGGTCTGTCAGGGACAGGCGCAACAGTGCTTCGAGTGTCGTTTGCCAACGGGTGAGAGACCACCACATGGATTGACGAGTGAATTGTTTCGGGAATTAGTTTCTCCTGTCTTTGGAATTGTAATTCCATGTGTTTTCCAGGAGACATTTCAACACAATAGGATTTAACATAAACATCATCAATAAGTGACGTGTGCTTGTTACAAAACTTGTTGTTCCCATTTTCATCCATAATTGAATCATCGGAGGGATCTTCCACTTCTTCAGCGAATTGGAAGAACACGGTCTCAGTCGATGATCGCAATTCCTTCGTGAGAGGTTGAAATCCGGTCCTTCGAAGTCACATGATGTCCCATGAGCATCCAGCTAGCAGCTAGCTCGCTGTTGCTGGTACAGTCCTTTTTCACCCGTACAGTAGACAAAGAGTTAAAAGAGTGTGTCTTCATCCTGATCTCATATTAGTATTCTATACTTTTTGACACCAGCACTGTTTAGTTTGCTTCCAGAATTCGGATTTCGTCCACTGCAATGATCCTGCAGTCTGCAGTTCTTTGATGTTCGTGTGCGCTCTAGAGGTGAGGATGCTGCATCTTGAGGCTTGAGGCCTCCTTCATCCCTACACAGTCAGTCAACAACCAATAGGATTGAGGACACCCCACTAAAAAATAATTTGTGCTTTTCGCTGAGGATCTTCTCTTTGGCTGTCCTGTGGACCGTCGCTGACACCACCGGACCGCGGTTGGAAAACAGATTAAGACAGGTGTTTTCTTTCGTAAAACGGCTTTCCATGCGTCAGAACAGCTGTCCCTGCGTCGGTGAAACATCGTGGTGAAACATCGTGTCGTGGTCAAACTGACATGTTCGCTAGGATTGGCCTTCGTGGCTTTTCCCATCGCCATTTCGCAGATGCCTGGGAGCTTCTTCTTCGTCACCTGCCGAGAGAGTGCGGGGTTGAATTGGCCCAAAAAGTCATCATCAGATTTTTTCCAAGTCACGAAAGGTAGCTTGAGCTACCTGAGTTCTCCTTGCTTTAGCAAAAATGTATTACAATCAGGAGTTGGGATTGTGCATTGAGTTTGGTCCTGTAAGAGTTGATTCTGTTCGTCGCGGGGGGGGGGGCCCCCCCTGGATCAAATCCCCCCTGCGCCGGTTCACTCCGTCATGGACTTCTACCAGGGTTACTTGTGATTGCCTGCTACCTTTCGTTCACCCCCTCCTCTCTCAAGTGCTCATCACAGCCTTGGTCCGAATGGTTTTTTCCAGTTAAATGTAGGTACCATACCTGCATGTATACCTGCGGCACCTGAATTTTATAGGTCTATAATGCTCTGCATAATATGGAGGGAATTAATTGGAAGGGTGCAGTAGGGTTGCGCAAGATTGCGTGGAGAAGACCAGTTGGGGTTCAGTGACTGAGGTTCAAGACAGCATTGGCACCTGCTGGGGTTCGGTCAAGAAGGGATAGAAATCCAATTCTGAGGTGCCGCGGATTCTCCGATGAAGGGGCAGCCGGGGCAAGACGATCATCCGATAAGAATCATCCCTTTCTATTTCGCAGGTTCGGTTTGGTTTGCTTCCGGTGACAAAAGGCTGGAGAGGGCCAAGTCTTCCATCACCTGTAAGACCAGCGCTGCAAATGGTAGATCTACTCTGGGTGGTATGTTTATTTATCATATGTGTTGTAGTTGAAACATGTTGAAACCACCAACCAGTATCACATGATAGAACATTTTATTCCCAATGGAAGCCATCCCAGGTCCTTCCAGTGGGATGGACCATGTTGTTTTTTCTCCGTCCGGATTCCGCCCTTCGGCCCTTCCCTCAATCGATGAGGCCATTTTGTTCTTCTTCATGATGCTGATCTTGGGCATCGACTCCCAATTCGCTTACATCGAGGCACCCCGCGTCGCGCTGGCGCCTCGCTCTGCCTCGCTCCGCGTTGGCGCTCGCGACGTGCTGAGCCAACGAGCGAGGCGGTGGCCACGGTGCTGTGCGATGCGGGTGTGGGAGACCGGCTGCCCCGTTGGGCCTTGTCTGGCGGCTCGGAAGTGGCGAGGTCGGTCCTCGCGGGGAGGAAGCTGGGGAGCTGCACGGTGGGGAGTTGGATCTGTGGGACGAAACAGGCTGGGAAAGTGTAGTGCAGTGGGTAAACACATGTAAACACCAATGAGATTGATCAGCTTGTCGATGAGTTGCATACGATGGAAGAAGAGAGACCCTGAAGCAATGAATGTCAGCCGCCCTATGTTCCTTGTGCCCGGCCCGGTTGATTTAATTTGGGAGAGGATTTGGTTGACCCCGGTCGTAATTTTTTCTGTGTCTTTTCAGAAGGGCAGGCAGATGGCATGGCTGGATCTCCACATAGGAACTCGGAGGCTGAGCATCCGATCGGTGATTTTTCCTCCAGCCCTGCGGTCTTGAAAAGTGGGTCTTTGGTTGGAGCGAGGAGCCGTGCCAGCCGCCAGCGGGGGGGTTCCTCGCATCCACTTCCAACACCAGGAAGGTTGGAGGGTCGAAATGTCGAAGTTGTCCCACAATTGGGGACCCCACTTTTGCATTTCTGTGCCACAGAATACTGGATACAGGATATACTCAGTCTTGGTGCTTTCCTGACAACTTGAAGACTTGGTGACCTGTGGACTTCTGCTCGCTGCCTTTTTGGGCACCCCTTTTGCTCATGGGGAAGAGCAGTGGTAAAACCCTCTAAACCTGGGGCGCCGAGCGCCAGCCGAGCGCACCTGAGGTTTGATTTGCTTGGTGTCATATCTCATCGGCATCTTGTTTGTGACCAATGCTGGCGTTTACTTTCTGGAGCTGTTGCTCGGTCTGGCGTTGATCCTTTATAAGTTCCCCAAATGGGTGTGGATGTCGATATGGCGACATCGTTGCAACGCATGTACTAATAGATATATGTGATTAGATTTGGCTCATAGAGATATGCAATAGGTCGATAGACATGTGCTGTTAACAATCCTTCAAATTGTAGATGTTTCAGACATTGGTTTGGCACGCTCAACACATCAGGCTTTCTTTGAGCTGTTCAATGCTGTTCAGGTTTGATAACTACATCAGCATCTACGTGATGTTTGCCGTCGGCGCCCTCGAGTGCATTGGCTTGTGCTTTGGCAGAGTGGACGAAGGGCCCCTCTCGCAGACGCATGCTTGAGTGCTGGGAAGGCACTGGTGCTTGACGAATGCTTGACTTTGTCTCAAAATAGGCCTTCTTTGTACAACACAGGCCCGACTTTATTGAACAAATGGACCGGGGATGACCATGGCCTTAGCAAAAGAGGACACTCTGTTGATTCAGAGAAGATCCCCTGCTGTTGGTGTTGTGAATTGACGTTCCCTCCTGCAGAAAAAAGAAAAGAACATGGACCCTGAAAGCTACCACCACGTGGGGTGGTAGATGTGAAGGGTCTTTTGTCTCAGGGGTCTATGGACTCGTCTGCAGGGTCACCTGGACTCGTCTGGAGTCCGGTCGGTCCACGCCGGAGGAAGAACGAGCCGTCCGACCTTGAAAGAGGGTCGGGGCGCGGGAGGGGTGGCGGGTGGCGTTTGAGCTCGGAACCCTCCCCCCAAAAGACCATTTGACTTGCTGACCAAGATAGTCCCCATACTATCTATAGATATCTATGATCATCAAAATCATATCTATGATCATCAGAATCAGAACTAGGGGCCCCTACAGGCCCTAGGTGTTTATTATGTTATGTCTTTTTTAAATGTGTCTTCCACCCTCAAATGGTTCTCCTGTTCAGACTCGTTTCTTCGCCCCGCCCAGCTGGTTTTTTGTGGTGCTCTCAGGATGTGGACACGAAGGGGTCAAACCTGGGAGCACTTCCAATCCCTTTGCTTGGAGAATACGGGTTTGCACTTGGGTTGGATTTGGAAGGCGCAAGTGGGCCGGAGGGGGGGAAGTGTTGCGCCGCGGGTTTCAAAAGGAGGAGGGATCAGCGGGGAAGGATGTGGTTCAGCGGATCAGGGCCGCTCTGGGAAGAAGTTGGAGGAAGAAGTGAACATCATCATCCCCATGTGACCTCGTCCATTGTGAACTGAGCCCAGCACAGGTGGCGTGACTCTGAGCAAGTGGCATGAAAAGAGGTAAAATGGGAAATGAGAAGCAGGGGCCACATCCCCATGTGACCCTTGGTGGTCAAACAAATTTGCTTCAGGCCAGCTGGGGCTACATTTGTCCCACTCTTTGTGTCCTCCTGGTGGTGGTGAGCATCACTCCGCCCTTCGCCAAAGCCGACGTCATGGACGCGCGCAGCTCCAAGCCCTTCCCCGAAGGCGGGGGGGCGGCCGCGGAGGGACGGGGCTGAGTTCGACGGGTGTGCGGTGTGAACATGTTCATTGTCTGAGGTGGATGGTGGGTCACTGTGCAACACCTGAAAACCGTGTAATGATGTGTAATGATATATAAATTGAAAAAAATGATGTAAGCTCGCTTTATTCATCCAAATTCAACAGTAATGATTTTCTTGCATGATTTGTTCAAGAGCCAGCATCAATTATATATAAATACGTAAGTGGTTTGTTTGGTGAGCCAGCAACAGGCGTGCTTCTCAATGTTGCGCAACCGTTCTGAGTGTGTTGGTTTTGCTTTCATCATCATATCTCAGATACCCCGAAGAATCCTAGAGAAAAACACATCCATGCCAACCACTTGCCCGTCTCCTCCCCTTCCCCCTACAATCTGTTTGCGTTTGATGCCTTACTGCGATGAATGTGAGGAAACACCTGCCTGGAGGCACTGGCTTCTTCCCTGAGTGGACGATCGTTTTTGGATGGTTTTTGGCCTCCCTTCCGGTGGTTTGCATGGTAGTGCCTTGGTCATGACAGTTTCTTTGGAGGATGCCGCACATGAGTTTGCTGCGCATGAGGCTGGCACGTGATGATTGTGTGGTGAAGATGGTGGGTATAGAGTATTTGTGCATTTGTTAGGATTCTGGTGTATTTCTGGAGAGTTCTGTGTCAAGTGTACTTCTTGGATTCTTTTGCCTGTTCCACAAAGCTTAGTAATTAGTAGTCAGGGCAGGGAGGATGAGTTCCTGATCCTAGCATCAACCAACGACAGGCGTTACGACAGGCGTTACTCATCGTTACTCCTGCTGATGAATTTGCCTTGTGACTGAGGTGCTGGCTGTGTGGCCCAATGTTTTGAAGAGCAGCCAGAGAAGCGGTTCAACCATCTTTGACGACATGCCCAAGTGAGCGCCCGGCCGAGCGCGGCTCGGCGCAACGCGGCGCCAAAGCAAAGAGGCGCTCGGAAGGTGCGAATTCAGAACCCCGATTTCTCAATCGCCGACCAGTCAAAAAGGTTTGACAATCGCAAACGAAGAGATTTGGTGGAGCTGGGACGGATCGGCGTTATTCATTGGAGGAGCTTGTCGTTGGACATTGGATTTGACACAGGTGAAATGCCTTTACTGATGTCCAGATATGTGACATATGGTAGGTGATTATTGATATTTATATACTAAGCAAACCTTCTTTGTGAAATGCTAGATATTATCTTGCACTGTTCCTAGCCTTTTTCATAGACATTGGAAGCCGCAGTGGAAGCGTCACATGCGCTGTTCCTTGCGTCACTGTGAGAGTTCACCAGTCCAGAGAGTCCTGTTTTTTCGGGGTTTCGGCGACCAGGTCGCTGCCAAATGTTCGGTTCACCAGCCAAAGAAGCCAAGGAGCGCCCTTCAAAATAAGGTTCCGCAGTCGTTCAGAGTTGACTGTTAAAGGAGTCATTGAGTTGACGCCATGTATTTTTGTAGATTCTCCAAGAGCCCTCTTCGATGAAGCTGGCTTCCAAAAGGTATTAGGTGGTCCAAGAAATTCCGAGAAATGCTTTGAACACTTCGGTTGGGATTCCTGCTTTTTTTGTTGTTGCTCGTCCGTGTAGCTGTCCAAAGCCCTTCTATATACCCAATGCTTGGTCGCAAATTGGGCGCAGATCGGGTCGCGCGACACTTTTCGCGCATCGCAAAGCACGTCGGTGCCGTGAGTGGCATCCTTCGCTGAGAACCATTCTCGGCACAGATGTAAAGACCTGGCGAAGCTAGGGGAAGGTCGAGTCGAATCCTTTGATGCTCCGGACATGATGGCTAGCCGGAAGCCATATTTCAGTGTATCATCTATGTCGGTTGGGTATTTGGGGTGCTGGATGGCCCAACCTTTATCAGGCCCTATCGGTCCTGTGGATTCCAGGTGTTTTTTGCCCAATCCGAGCAACAAGTGTGGGACCACAAGGATTTGTTTGGATCCATCTAGGATCCCCTAGGTTCAGCAAGGTAAAAGGCCTATAAAGGCCTCTACAGACCTCAAGGTCTTTTCGAAAGTCCTGCCAGAGTGCAGCTGATCAGGGCATGGGTTGCATCTCCAAATTCGTTTTGCCAGTGTTGGAGAAACATACTGTTGACTGTCCATTCACATGTGTCGCCGTGTCACTTGTGGCATTCTGAGATCTTTTCACCAGGCCCTTTTAGTGTGATGACCCGACAACACGTCTTGGAGGCACTAACAGCGTAGTGACCCCATGACGAAGCGGATCTACCAATCTCTCGCGTTGTAAAGTCTGCCTTGAAGCCTTTGGCCTCCACGACAACAGATCGTAGACTGGCCATTGAACCACAGCAGATGCGAAACAAATGCTGATGACAGCTTAAGCTTTCCGGATTCTGTTCTTCCTCTCGGAAATCCATTACTAATAGCATTGACTTGCTCCTGAGTATCAGTTCTATATAATTTCATTTGCGGCCAGTTCAGAATTGAATGTAGACTTCCCCTATGTCCATATATGGATTGAAACAGCTCTTCAGGGCTGGGGGGCCTTCTGCAGGGCTGGGGGGCCTTCATTAATTTGTAAGGAGTTTTGTGGTGGCCTTCATTCCATGGCGAGTGAACGCCTTAGCAAATCGGTCAAAAAAGAAAGCTCGGAAGAATGTGTATCCCATTCCAGCAAAAATGTATAATTACTGCCGGGCTTGGTTTTCCTGGAATGTCAACTTCCACTGTAAATGAGGAGAGAGAAAGAGAGAGGAGTGCCATCAGTTCCATTGTCCACAAGTCATGCAGCATTTAGTCCATCGCTTGTGTCTGCAGGGGGCGAGGTCCCAAGAAGCAGTCAGCCAGTGGGAAGAGGAAGTGAAAGAGAGCAAGTACTACAAGGTGCCCAGCGGGCGGATAATGGACTTGCATTTCGTTGAGTTATGAAGAAGTTCTTCAACTGTTGTATTGCATCGATTGCATGTCGTTGCCGTCTTTATATAAAGTAGGGTTCCGGCATCCGATATTGGGACCATTTGGGACATTGACTTGGAGGTGTCTTTTTGGAGCATGCACATGTTTGGGAGTAGCCTTCTTGGAGGTAGCAACAGGAGATTATACCTCTCTTCAAGCCACAATCTTGTGTCACGTTTTCTCTTTGGTTGTTTCTTCGTTTCAAGGCACTGGCGTGTCAGAGCGCTTGGAGATCCATCAACCCATCATGCCAAGTCGTCGTCATCCAACGTCGTGAAACCCGGCCGCGATTCGGTGGAATTCACGCAGACAAAGCAACAAATTCCAATCCCCGCTCGGTTCTTCCAAAAACCGGGTCAGAGTCCGTCCACAAGTCTGATCCATCCTACGCCGGGCGTTCCAAACGAGCGACCTGTTTGGTCGGGGCCTGGCCCTCTTCCGCCCGGGCCCGCGGCATGCCGGGGGAGGCCGGCCGGCCTCCGGGTGGACGTCCCGTCCGACGGCAGTGGCAGGAGTTGGTCCAGCTTCCCGCGACGAAGAAGATCAGCCCAAGTCCAAAGGCCCGGTGACTCGCCTGCGGCGATGGAGAACTGGGGGACGGGCGGTCTTGGCGGGGTATGGATGAGATGACCACCCGGTTGGGGGGGGACGAGGCCGACTTGAAACGAACAAAATGTCTAAGAGGACCGCGATGAGAAATGGCGTGGAAGACAGACTCATCAGATCTCACACCCAAAGATGCCAGGAATGATAGGAATGTGATGAATTGGAGTATTAACTTTGGGGGAGAGATCTTTCAATCGAATCATTCTCCCAGCAGTCACATGTCGGGGTGCTATCCATGGAGGTAGTCGGGGTGCCCATGAGGGACTCAACAACACCCCTTTGTGACTCCTGGTCTTCATTTCTGTTTTCTCTTCCTGGTGGAACCCCTAGGTCCGAGGCTCTGATCCCTTGATGCATCCCTGCACAACCAGCCAGATCGGTGAAGAACCGGCGACGGAGCACCGTGGGATGGAGGGACGTCTATATATAGATGGCCTGAACATAGTGAATGTAAGCTAGCATACCATTGACACCTATATAAAGTTATAGTTTGGGTAAAGCCACATGAAAAAACTCTACCTGAATATATACTACATGAATCATTGAATTATGTCCGAGTTATAGTGAATTATATACATATATACTCAATTGATTTGGTTAATAACTTGATTGATGAGGATTCTATGTTGTGTCCGGTCCGTTCGGCCTGTTGATGTTAAAGCATGTCGGTCTCACAACCCCGGCAGGACTGGAAGCCCGGAGCTCAGTCCGAGCGCATTGGAACACCTCCATCCCGAGCAGTGGGTACCAGGTGGTTGTTCCTGACCAAGACGCTTGGGGAAACCCTTAACAAAAAGGGATTGAACTGGATAAAACAAGATAAACACAAAACCATTTAGATCCATTTAGGGATTTTTGATGATTTTTGGACTTTGTCCTGGGATCCTTGAATTAGGAGAAAGGTCTGTGGTCGGACCAAGCTCCTTTGACTTGGCGTGTCGTGAAACGTTTGGTTCGTTTCGATGAAGCGAATCCGGAGAGATGTCGCATACACCCTCCAAACAGAAAATGATCCCCAAATGCCCCAAACCTTTCAACCCAAGCAAACGCCGCCAAAAACGCGGCCAACCCAACCCAACGCGGCGATTTCAAAAAGACGCGGCTCTTCGCGAGGTGCGAGAAGAGCGGAGACACTCAAAACCTGTGGCTCAACTTGTCGGATGGGCACCTTGGAGAAAAACCTGTGGGGTCCCAGCGGCTGACTTCACTTGGGAGTTGTTTGCTTCTCTGACTTCCAGCCGCTCCCGCTCTAGAATCCCGGACCAAACTAAGTGTTTGAGGGCCCGGATTCTGGAGTTTGCTATTTTGTCTTGCAAGACTCCAAGAGATACTAGATGTTCCGCAAGTTGTACTAGATGTTAAAGATAGCCTTCCACAGCGGGACCCTGGTTCTCTTCAAGGCATTCTGCAGGAATTCTGTGTTTTTGAGTATACTTTAGGAGGTTGAAGCTTTGGCAAAAACTCAGCGCCAAATCACTCGTAGATGTTGCACCACATGATCTGACGACACCTCAGCTAGGCATGCTAGCCATGCTGGGCGACCAGGCCAGCAACCGATACAGAACAAGAAATCCAAACCGAATGAATTGGTCCACGACCTCCGAATGCCTCCAATACCCTGTAACTGATCATGAAAGCAATCCGGTGTGTTTTTCAGTGCAGAAGCTGCTGCTGTTTTGCGCTCCTTCAGAGCCCCTCAGCCTTGGTGGTGAACATGTACTGCCTTTCAGAGTCTACCAGGAGACCCCAAGGGGTGTTGTTTGGACCCTAAGGGGTGGTTAATAGACACCCCGGTAGCCACCAATTGGCACCCCTTAGGGTCTCCTGGTATGTGAACATGTTTTGAACATGTTTGGCTTGTCAGGAGAAACAGAATCACCTATATAGAGAACCCGGGGATACTCTCTTACACGTGTGTGATGTGATGAGGCCCAAGTCTTACTGTATGACAATGTTTCCCAATGTTCAGGGTTCAGACGCTAAATCTTCGAATATTGCTCCATTGTCCTGTAGCTCACATCTGGGGTTTGTTTGCTGAACTCACGACACAAAACAGCAGATCATGTACCTTCCCTATCCATCCACAATCCCCTCTAAAAAAGGGTTTATGTGTTCCACACTTTTACATCGGCAGGAGGGGCGAAGCTCCGTGGATCCGGCTCGATTTCTGGGTCGCTCCGTCACGAGGTGAACAAAAACAGCAGAATCGTCAGGACCCTCAAGAGGCGCACGTCTTTGGAGGATCCGTTAACTATACCATAGACTATATCAATACCCCTGCTATTCTGGGGTTCCAAATCCCTCCATGCTTGGAGAGCCCCAAGGATTCGATCTAGGAGTTCAGCTGAATATCTAGATGGTCCCATGTCCAATTTCGATCCGAAACTCGGATGGTCCTGACGTTCACTCCGCCGTGGTTGAACTCCACCCACTCTCAGGTACATCGGCGGGGGTCGACGGCATTGGGATGGCTCTGGCGGAAGTAACGGAGCTCTTGAGCATTTCGAGGAGGACGGCGACCGGGCGAACGGGTCGTCGTTACCGTCGTCTTCAGGAGGACGACGCTCAGAGGTTTGGGCTTCACCGGCTCCTTTTTTTGCGAATGGAACCTAACTGACCTAACTCTGTTAAGTTGTAGAAGTCTTTGATTTCAATCCCTAGCCAGTAGCCAGTAGCTGAGGTGTTCTCTTGTGAAGGAAGGGACCATGGCAACAAGGTTGTGGCCTGGAATGAGCCCCTCCATTAGAACAGCAGGCCGCACCATCTCTGAGCAGGCCTCGAAAGGCTACTCGCATCATCTCGCATCCCGCTTTGGTGTCTTACACAATGCTTGAGTAATTGTTGGCACAGTGGAATCCTTGCTGGCCCAGCTTTTCTTCTCCACGCATGACCCACATCGTGGGCGGCGGGAGAGCATTGAGTTGACCCACATCGTCCACGGCTCCAGGAGAAGGCCAAGGGCAACTTCTTTCCATTGGTCCTCTCCTTGACGAGAACCGAAGCTCGCGCTCGCGCTTTCTGATCATGCGGTGACTGACAGTCTTGACCTGAACAATCGAGCCATCCATCATCAAAATACCTCGGTGTGTTTTAGTATCGAAATCTTATCGTTGATGAGGGTTCATGACCCAAAACTCGAAAGGGTATAGTCAGGTCAGGGATGGTCAGAGAGCATTTTGCTAGCCTATTCATGAACTTGGGTTTCCGTGACTGCAGCCACAACCCGTTCATGCACGCCCCGTGCAGTTCAGAACCCCCAAGCAAAGCGATGGAGACGTTTGGAAGCTCTCGTGTCGTTCTTTTCCTGGAAGCTGTAGGCCTTGGCAAGTCCGCTGTCCGAGCGAACGGAAGCCACCAGCACGCGGCTGGACACGGTCTCGGTTCCAGGTGGACACCCGTCTTACCGCTGGTTCACCGGGCGACCCAGGACCGGACCGGCTGGTTGACAGCCTCGATGTTCCTCCAAAACACCAGCGGTAGTACTTTAGGCTCGGGTGGACCCATCCAACACCGTACGCCAGTCTGATTTACAAACCATGGACACACAACAAGTATTGCTTTTTTTTCTCTCCAAGAACATGTCGACATCAAACTTGCAGGATGCATCCTCATACATCCTCCTGGGTCGATGGGAATGAGATCCTCCTCCGGTTTTTCTCTTGACCCGGACAAAAGCTCCTTGAGCCCCAAGTCACCAAACCCCACGGAGCCGCGCAGCAGCCCGGGGCGGCTCCGCTATGGCCGGCTCGCTCCTCAGGTGGTGAAGTTGGGCACCATCACACCTGATGGAGCCGCGACGCCGCGACTGGGGGGTGGGACTGGGCACACCTATTCAACCCAAATATGGGTTGAAAGGATTTCTCAAAGGTGGGTTTACTTTATACTAGGTCAAAATGAGATAGGATGTGTATGGATTTGTAAAACGATAGTCACAATCACAAAGTTCTATCTCATAATGACCTATAGCATAATATTAGCTGTTATCCTTCTTTATCCTTTTTGTCACTGTTTTGCAGTGCTGGTGTCAAATGCAAGCACCACAAGCTGGTGTGCTGCTCACGCAACGGTCCAGCAATTGACAGCCCTTTTCATGAGTAGTATGTCATCATTGTCGCTTTTTGGTTGACCCTCACCTTTGGCATCAGCATCTTTTGGCATCGTGATATTGTACAAGTTCCTCAAATGTTGATAGCTTTGCACGGTCCCACTGCATGGTTAGCTCCCATTGCTTTGCACCGGTGTGCGGCCCGGCCGAGAAACAGGAGCTGACGTCTACTCCTACGCTCCCGATGAGGACAATCTCGTGAAGGAGACCGGAAGCTGAAGCCGAAGCAAAGACCCTAGCCCCACACGCCATGACCTCATGAAATACTAGATGATGGTCATTTTACGGCGTGTCCAATCCAGGAACGCTGATGTTTGTCGAATTCCTGCTGGTTTCTCAAGAACATCTCGATACCCATCACCAGAGTGGTCTGCAGCACAAGACCGGCTTTGTTCCGACTTCCGATCCCTGGGCTGCCGTGGATGAGTGTCCCACCGCCCACGCCCACGCGCAGCATCAGGATCCCTTGCTGGCGCAGCATCTGGAGCACTGGGGAATCGATGTGATGAAGCTCCTCGCTGCTGATGGGTCCCACCGGATGGGTCCCAGCGAACCGTTTGGGAGCGGCCGGCAGTGGCACTGGCGAGTTCCATGGAAAACCATTGTTTACCAGCATATATATTAAAATAATATATATATATATATCATTTTCATATCTGTATATATAACAAAGTTATATAGGTTTACCATGTTTACCAGTTCCACAAGAAAAGAACCTGTTTTACAATGATATTGTTTGCCATAAATGTTTGGCAAGTGGGAGGACTTTGGGAACATCCCGTAAAAATGGCGGCATTCGGATGCCAAGAAGGCAGAAGGGTTTTCCGGTTTCCCCTTTTGTTTGCACCTACACCTGCCCACATGGGGGTCAACAGGGTCAACAGCATTCCCAGCACCCTAATGATGTGGATGCCGCAATGCCCTTTTTTGGTGCAGTCAAGCGCCTTTGCTGTAGCTGCTTGGATCTTCATCCATGATTCGGGGCTGGGCTTTCTCGCGCCGATGCGCGAAGCGCTCAGGATGGAGAAGACAGACAAGACCTTGGCCGAAATGCAGGCGACCGGGGTGACCGTGCCGGTGGACCGCTCGAGGTGACTCGAAGCTGAGAAGAGGGTGCTGATCCCGGGGACCCCGAGAGGGGTATCCATTAAGAGCTCGAGATGGACGCCTTTGCGGGGGGGTATCCATGGAGCTCAAGCTACCAGCCATATCAGTCCATATCCATCCATGGAGTATCATGGAGTTTTTATGTATTTGTGAGCTAGAGCCATGTCTTGCGTCGCAGCCCATGGTGAGACACAGTGAGCTTGCTCCATCTTATGCTTCTCCATATTTGAGGTGGCTCAACGAATTCACCCAACATTTATGGTTTCGAGTTTTGGGCATGTATTTTGCTGTATTTTGTATTATTTGGCGGGCAAGCATCCATTTATTAGATCATAGCGCGATCTTCGACCAGGTTTTCTGGGTGTGCCTCCTGTGTTTCTCGTGTCGTCTCGTGTCGTCTGGTGCCTTCAGGTGGACCTGAACCTGAACTACGACTGGTCCAGGATTTGCGAGTCCGGGGACAAGCCACTGGTCCACGTCTTAGCATTCAGGACTAAGACCGGGTGAGGCTGTGGGTTTGCCTCTTGAGATGACCTAGGCATGTAAACCAGTTTAAACCTAGGCATGTTGGGGAGTGACCTTCCAAGCACATCCCAGGAATCTCGCAGTCGATTCAGACTGACAGGGTGTTTCCATGCCAACTGCTTGACTCATTGACTGCTTCATGCACCACCGAGAATTTGGCAGGCGGCTTCCAACACAATTTTAGCCTGGCCTGTCCAGCAGACTTATCCACAGCCAGTCATGCTGAGTGGGAGAATATCGAACAATCCAGCAGCTAGGGGGATCCTGTTGAAATATGTTTAGTATATTTTGCAGCTATTGTTTCCTGGGTGTTTGTAATAGACTACGTTGCCTGCAGGATCAACGACAGGTCATGCCATTCTGCGATAGCACTCTAATATCTCTTTCTCCTCAAAACCTCCGATCCTGTGTATGAGCTGTCAAAGTCCATTGAAAACTGAGAATTTGTGTGAACACCCTCACACATCGCACGAGCCCACGCACTCACACATGGGAGTTTTCACATGCTCTCTTGATCTGGTGCAAGCAGAACCCACGAGATGTTGTTTTCCCTTCCGCTGTGACCCGGGCGAAAATCGTCACGTTGGTGTTTCACGAACCGCCCAGGTTCGTGTGCGGGGTCCTGGGCTGGTGGGCTTGAAGAACTTGGGGTGCTCCTGACATGTTGCCGGTCCAACGTCTAAGACCTTGGAGTCAAAGAATGAGCTTCTGCCTGGACCTTCAAGGAGTGTCCAATAGAGATCCCTGAGCAGTGTAGGGACTTCCAATGGTGAATGCTTTGAAGGTGCTGGTGAACACTTTATTCGTTTGTTGGAAGTCAGAAAGGTTATAAGTTATGACCACATCATGGTGGTGCAGCCTTGAGATGTTATTGTTTTTCCAAAGCTGCTCTCGTTTGTCATATTATCCATTCACCATGCAACCCCCTGCTTGAACGTTTTTGTTTCCATGCAACAAGTGACACATGCTGGAACTCCCGCCTTCTTTGCCAGGCAGTCATGCTACATGAACTCCTCCGTTCAATTGCTGCTGGCCAGTGTCCTAGAGCGAGCGAGCGAGGGAGGGAGGGAGGGAGGGAGGGGGAGCGGTCAAGCATGGTCCAGCTACTGTACTGGTGTAGCCCCTCAGATACCCTTTCGGCAAGATCCAGGCGGAACATGTTGTTTGCTGTGGCAGGAACTTCTTCGATTCCTGAGAAGCAGCTTCTGGGCCCTATCTAATTAAGTCCAAGATGTGTACACAAGTTAAGTAGAGTATGTTCAGGACGTACATACAAGAGCATACGTACATTATCATACATTAAGAGACATGATGACATGATACACAGCATCGCATAAATAGCATGTAGTTCCTGGGTGGGACTGGATGTGGGACTGGCCCATTCGCAGGGCTTGCCTGAAGTGAAGCAGCGCTACATGGATGCTGACTTTAAGGCTCCGGACCGGAAGAGCTGTGCTAGCTGACCGCGCTGACGTGTCGAGAGACGTGGAACGGAAGAGCTGTGCTTCCAACCAAAGTGTTGGAGCCCGTCGACTTGTTGATGAAACTTGCTGAGCAAGAGAGTGTATCTCCCCCCAAAGGAGGAGTAAACAGATTTGAAGTGTTGATTCTGGATGGTGAAGACATCAGTTCGGGTCTAAACCCTTAGTAGTTTCTCTCCAGAAAGAGACTTGCTGTCGTAGGATTGAGATGGGTCTAGCAATGCGTTGAGATGTGTAAACCTACTATATAACCTACTGACGCAGCGTAACACAAGGGATGCGCATCGTTGTTTCTTCCTTTCACCACCTCACCTCTCCGTCGCAGATTCGCAAGTCGGCACCTTCGGATCTTCAAAACGATCTCATCGGTCAGGCGCCGGAGGGGACCCGGAGGGGACCCGGAGGGACCCGGGAAGACCGGAGACCGTGGGAGACCGTGGGAGACCGTTGATTTCAACAGCTGGAGAGTTTCTCGGACGTTGAGAAACTCATAGGACTGAGAGGTGTTAAGAGTTGGTCGAGTCTAGTTTGCCTCCTTCGTTTTCAGACATGTCATGTGATCACACACCTCTACCTTCTCCGCCCTGGTGGAACCACACCGAGGTGGCCAAGTTGGCCGATGGCCTCAATGGCTCTCGGTATGCTCCGCCCTTGTGTGGACGCCTGGCCCGAGGATACGGTGAACGAGAGGGATCAAACGAGAGGGACCACCAAAGATGCAGCAATGAAAACGCAGAAGTCTTCATCTCCTTTTCAAGATGATTATATAAGGCACCAGCTGGCTGCAAGAGCCACTGTGCAGGCCAGCAATGGCTAGATCATCCAAGATGGTTCGATGGGGATGGATTTTCGCTGGCATGAGATGGCTTTGGTTCTAACGCTTCAAAAGCCTCCTGTATCTGTGAGAGCCGATATATTCCAATTGGATCCAATTACTCCCTGAAATACAGTACTCATGGAAGTGGAAAATCAAAATGGTCATCCAAGGGGCAGTTTCCACTTCCATTATTATTTCAAGGAGTGTGGTTTGACAGTTTGACATGCGCGTCGTGTGTGTCCAACCCGGTCACTGTGTCGCCAGGAAAGAAGGTGAAGATGAGGAGGACCCCAAGCACGTCATCGCGCCCCAGGCGCTCCCTGGGTCGAAAGTTGCTGGACTCTTGGAGGGGCCAGGCCCTTTGACCAACTTACTGGTCTACAGCTGGGGATGCATCTCCCTGTCACGCTTGCAAGCTTAGCGATGTAGCACAACTATTGCTGCTATGTCCTGACACCCACGTGGATAGTTCATGAGAGTTCATCTTACTGGCCTACTGACTATGATATAACTACTTGAATACTCTTGACATCTCTTGACCCTTGATACTTCTTCACCTCGTTTTCCGGCGGCCACTGCGACGAACGTCACGCGCCGAACGTCACGCGGCCAGATGTTCCGCACGCTGATTGGGCGAGGGCATCACGAATTCAGCAGCTCCAGGCGGGGCTCCAAAGGTCTCCATGTTGGCATGAAGCTTAGAGACCATCTTCTGCTCAATCTGGGGGCGGATGATGGCACAATCTCAGATGGCAATGTATGTTGATTTTTGGTCGATGTTTGACATGAGTTTGATGGGAGCAGCCCTTCTGTTGTTGAGCCAACAACATCTAACAATGAACCAAACCTGAGAAGTGCCAGGAATTTGGGATGGGAAACCGATGGTTTTGAAGTGACAGGGCTAGGTCATGGCCTTCCTTTCGCAGCCACCAAGTGTGCGTACTGCAGGCAACAAGATGCCGCGGAGTTCGTGCAGGCCGCACCGCCGCATCGCGGAGTTCGACCATCTCCCGACTCTCCCGGTGTTTGTTATTACTTTTTGGGGTGAACGGGAAGCGGTGTCGAAGCGGTGTCGGAAAACTGGTCAAGCTCGTGGGAAAGCTCGGTGGGAGGCCACCTGGGAAAGCTGGGGCATCGTTGGGAACCCTTGGAAACATCCTGATATGTCCTGATCATGTGGATTTGGACATGATTTGAGTGTATTTTGATGGGGCGACCCGCAACCAGTGGGTTTTGATCTATTCTTTTGGGAGGTCTCCCATTCAAAAAAATGCGTAATAATACACACAGCGCATTGGCTGATCCATGATTTGTACAATCCGGCTGAAACCACTCCGAAAGAAGAACCCGTGGGGCTTTGCTGGGTCATGCGGTCATGCGATGTCCAACATCGAAGCATTGCAACAACATCTTGGCAAGTGTCTCTGTTTGATCAGTGGAATCCCTTCGCTTAGCTCGCTTTGTACAGCTTTGCTTAGCTCACCCGTTCAACATCCAGATGTCCCCGTGCCTTGCCTGAACGAACTCCCGTGCCTCGCCGAGTACTTCCTGGAGCAACTGACGCGCGCCGAGCGTAGTGCACTGGGCTCCCGGCTGTCCGGCGACCGTGTGGGGACCCGGTCGCGCGGAGCAGGTCACGGCAGCTCGGGATCCTGGATGAAGGTTCTGACCCAGCAGAATGACCTTTAGGATGTAAGTGAAGGATATCAGGAAAAAGATATGCTTTTTCGGAACACCACCGACCTTTGACATCCTTTGACCAATCACGGAAGACACTTCAGGGGGAGGTAATCCCACAGATCCCAGGTGTTGGAACATCTTTGGTAGTGCACTTGGTAGTTTGCTGAGTTTATCCCCTTAAAACGCTGGCGTGTTTGCAAGAAACCCTAAAACATCCTAAAATAGAATTTTCTAAGATTAAGCGGGAGCTTGGGAAATCATCATCTCTCGAGCAAACTGCCATTCTTACCCGCAAAACTCCCACAAAAATGATCAAACGACGATCGCAAAGAAGCCGCACATCCAGACAAACCGTAGAGCAGTGTTTCCAGATGGTGGAATCCAAGTGGAAGAGTGGATCGCTGGCGTTGTTTTTTTCACCCCAACCATGAACAGCACATAACAGCACTAAAACCACTGAAAAAAAGCTGACAAAGAGACCGCCGCTTGGAATTGCGATGATTTGTCATTGGGATCAGGATTTAAGGACAAGTGTTATTGTTCACTCATTTGATTTGTTCTCGGAGAACGCCATCACATAAACCATCTACTGTTCAATTCGAAGGAAGAGCAAGCAGAAAACCACCAACACCAAGGCCCAAGCACCAGCATGTTCAGCTTCTCCGATCCTTGGACTAAAGAGCCAAGTTGCACCAGCGCCGTCGATGCGTTTTCGATCGCTCCATCATGTTCACACCTAAACCACAAACCCATGGCTGGAGTTCATCTTGGGGTGCCACTTGTGGCGCCTCTTCAGATTCTTTAGTATTTGTTTTATGTAGATTGGTTAGATGTGTGATCCCGTGTGAATGTCCCAGCTGCTAGAAGTAGTTTTTTTCCCGCACATCATGACTTGAGGAAAAATCATCCACCAACAGTCCTCATTTGCCATTGTTCAGATCCACCACGTGTGTCAATCCATGGCATTCTACGTTGTCTCTTAAAAAAGAGAGAGAGAGAGAGAGAAAAAAGAATAAAGCTGGGGCTCACAACTGTCACGCACGGAGGATCCCGCGAGAAAACAGAGGAACCATTCTTCTATAAACACGGCTGTTTTACATAGACCCCCCAAATAGTTCGGATGTCAAATCTCTTTCACAATGTATTGGGCACCGTGCTACTAGATGTCTCTTTGGGGCACCACTATAGACCCGAACAGCTGGTTTTGGGGTCTTTGGTGGCACACCTTTCGGGGCACCTGTTGTCAGGAGATCCCAGGGTGATGGGGAGGGAGGGTGGGTGGTGTTCGTTCGAAAGGGCAGAGGACGGATGGAGCGTTTCCCGTCGTCATCCTTTTGGCTTGGCTCCGTTGGAACGCTTGCCCCATGTGAAACTCAACGCTCTGAACAGACCGATGGATGGGATGGGATGTGATGGAATCCCATGAGTTTTTAAGACCTCACTCGGTTCCATTGGCGAAGTGTGGTTCTTCCTGAGTTCGTCAGAAACCAAGTATGTCCCCTGAAGAAATGGTGTCCGCTTGTGGATAGAGAATATATGGATGGACGTGGAGCATGATAGAGCCTTCATTTAACCAAGAAGAAGAAGAAGGGGCTTAGGCTTAGGCCCTGGACAACTTCGGAGTCTTTCGGTAGTCGGCTACTCGATGGATTGGATTTACAATGATTTTTCAGTAAAGGAATGTGAAGGATTGTTTGGAGCCACCATGGCACCGCCGCCATAAGTCGTGCTAATATAGTAGGTTAAGTAAATAATGGTCGCTTTTCATCCGCACCTAACACTGTGTTTCTTCCCTCCACCACGTTTTCACGCCAAGGTGGAGGAGCGACTTCAAGAAAGCACTGGAAGTCGCCGTGTGAAGTGCCTTTGACTGACTTTGCTTGAAGTGCCTTGGATCACTCTACAGGCAAGTACCAGTAGGCTCATTGTCTGTTGCTTCTTTGGGCAGAGTGTTGACTTGGCCAGGTTTTTGGCTACTTGTCTACCCAAGTTGCATGCTAAAAACAGGCTTCAAGTTGCAGGCTGTCCCACCGGACTTCGCTTGGTCCAAGCTTGCAAGCAATTTCAGTATTGAGCTGTCACCGGGACTCCTGTTTTTTGACATACTCTTTTTCTGCATGTCCTTTTGAGAGATGTCGTACGTTGAAAACTTTTGGTTGATGTGTGTATACTACATTTATACTTCGTCTCGATGAGTTTCTTCAACCTCCATGTCTCTCCCGCATAGAAGAGTACGGTGCTGATCCTACGCCGACCGACCTACGGTTGGACTAGCAGCCGCTGGAAGCCCAAAAGCTCTCCGAACCTTGAGAGTTTCAGGTTAGGAACTGGACCGAACTGAACATTCCCCTCACTGGACATGGAACACAGGGAACACAGTGCCATGTAACATAGAGCCACGGCTTTTCCAGGGTAGTTTGATGATGAGCCTGCGTCGGATGCATGCAGCTGAACAGGTGTGGAACTTCTTCAAAAGGAGGACATCTAGAGTAAGTGTCAATACTTGTTGCGAGGTTGTGTTTTCACCGAGGCTCTTTTGGAGGTCCATTTGTTCATATTGTCACTCAGACTTACTTGCTCAGTCTTCCCAACCACCCCTTTCACCCGGCCGAACGAAGAAAATAAACCCAACCTTCGACCTTCGATTAATCCTTGTACTCGCAACAGAAAACACCAATCCTATCCAATCCTCTTTTGGCCCGCCGCGAGTATGTGTGAAAAACCGCCGAGGTACAGCCGTGTGCAGCAGAACATGTTGGGGATTCCTGCACCTCGGACGGCGAAAGCGTCCCACAGAATCACTGTCCCACTGCCAGATCACTGTGCCGCAGTCCAACCCAAGATTCTTGTTGAATCTCCATCCATCCATCCATCCATGGGGCAACGGCCCTTGATTCTGGCGCCCATTTCTCGGGGCTGACCCAGATATGCTTGGGGGAGCCAGATTCTTTACAGTAAAGGACCACCAGCAATGGTCCCTACTTGTTCCACCATTGTTCCACCATTGGACCGATTATATAGCTACCTTAAAACAAAAACGCGTTAAAAAGATCTTTGAGACTCAAGGTACAGTAGTTAGTTTTGTTGTTTTCAGGTTGTTACCTTTACTAGTTGGGATGGCCGCCGCATTTTTGGAGCCGAGACCTCAGCTCTCAGGCATGCGTTTTCGGCACAGATGGAGAACCCTTTGAGACAGAGGTTTTGGAAGATGGACAACTCAACTAATACTGACTGATACTTCCATACTAATACTGATGCTGATACTAATGCTGAAGATGGAGAACAATCCCTAACATACTTCAACTATAAAGCTTGGGCTTTGCCCGGAGCACCTCGTGCAGCCACGTTTGCCGAAGATGGTTTGGCAGGTCCAACATGGTCAAAGCAACGGTATGTGTTCCGTCGAAACGCTTCAGGTCAAGCTGGAGGATGCGGACAACCTCGAAGAGGCCCCCCCGAAAAAGGAACCCGCTGCCAGGGGTACGAAGGACTCTTGTTTCACGTGTATATCTTATGGCACAAGGACGGTATCAAGGACTTTTGTTACATGAAAATCTAAGGGGTATCGCATGGTTCAACTCAGTCACGGATTTATTCTTGACGACTTGAACCGAAACGAATTGGTTTAGCAGAGGATCTGCAGGACATCCATAGTTCTGGTGGTGAAAACCATGGTCTCCGATGTTTGCCTTGAACCAATCGATTGAATTCAGTAACAGCTGGAGCAGATCAGCGCACTCTCCAAAGAAACATTCCCACAGAAATTTGCCTGGTAACAGCATCCAATACAGTTTTGCTGCTGGAGCAGTGGCTGGAAGCTCTGCAAATGGTTGTTTGATCATTATGATATGAGACACGAGCTTGGAGGTCAGCGGTGATCCAAGGAGTTGCTGAAAGGTCAAGGATTCCAAACTCCAAAAAAGCTTAAACACTGTGGCCTGCTCTTCTAGAAGAGAATAGTTCTGCATTTCTGCACCCTTTGTTCAGGCACCAGTACATCTGCATAAGGAGTGGGCGTGTCAAATCCTGTTCCCAAAGGGTCCAGCCTCTTTAATTGGATGCACGTTACTGTCCACGTTACGGTTCACCAGCCAAGGTCTACCTGCAGTAAATCGAAAGGTCGAATGCATCAAGGAAAAACCAGCCGAGCTGCAGTGGCTCGTTCGAGCTTTCTTCTAAGTGTGTTGCTCAAGGAGAACAACTTTTTAAACACCACTTTCCCACTTTCCATGATGGTGGGCCCAATGAATCCAAGAATTCCTTTTGGATGTTGGCCTCCAAGTACCTTTGTTTCGGTTTGGACTGGGCTGGGTAAACGTCGGGTCCAGTCATACCGAAGAGGAGTAGGGTGACATGTTGGGTGCATAGTAGACATCACACGACCGACCGTCGAACATCGCAACGCGTGGAACGTCCCAACTCGTGATGACCGGTTTTTGTGCGTCCGTCCGAGTGAACTCGGCTCAGCTGGCGAGGTGTTGGCGTTCAAAGCCTCAAAGGAGAAGGATGAGAGTGACGCAAAGAAGCTCAAGACCGAAGGCACCAGAGCTATCAGAGCGCAGAGTGCGCTCTTTTTAGAGCTATCCTCAGTGGTCAGCACCTCCGATGTGTTTTGTTTATTCATGTTTGCGTGGTTCGAGCACACTTCCTGTGTAAGTTTTGTCCACGTGCTTGGTACTCTCATGTATATTATCCAGGCATGTTCCAAGCCTTGCGAGTCTTCCTTTTCTAAACGTGCCATCGGTGTCCATGGAGATTTGGCACCCTGCCCCGCGACCGCCAAACACGTTCCGTTCCAAACCTTGGCCAAACCGCGCGTCCTGTGCACAACTGGGGGTGTTTGGTCTCACTGTGGGAGGTGTTTTTCGGCCATGAGCAGCAGAGTTGCTTGGAAAGCTTCGGAATTGGTAGTGACCAATCTCCTGTGAACTTCATGTCAAGACTTCCCAGAAGAGTGCCCTCCTTGCAAGTTATACCGAACCTGACACGCTCGAAGAGCCACGGAATGACTTGGCTGAGTACACCTCTGCACCGCTGCAGGCGTTGAAGAGCCCAAGCCTCTCATCCAACTCTCGTTCCTCGGATGTTGAGACACGAGAACGGATGGTTTGGGCTGGTGGTCATCGGTGCATGCAGGCGGAGACCCCCAGAAATCCCTCAGAATCCCCAAGGGGGTTGATTCAGAATGTCAGGTCGTTTGATTTCCAGCTTGAATTGTCTCAGTCAAGGCTTCACAGCTAGATTTTTTTGGATCTTGGTTTTGAACTTTTTAGATTATAGGTTTATTTTCATTTCTAGTTTTTCTTTAGATGTGTTGTGTTTAAAATATGGTTTTGATAATGTGTTTAAATTCAAATTGTCTTAGTCAAGGTTAAGCAGAAAAAAAAGGTCCCTATGCCATCGCTTTCGGAGGTGGACCCAATTGACTTCGTGAGCCTGGCGTGAGCCTGTCCATTTTCCTAAAGGAGAACTCCGCAACTTTCTCCACTTTGGGCAGAGAGAGGACTGGCTAAATAGAAGGGCTGGTTCCTCCCCCATTCGATTGAGTCCCGGATGAAGTAGGACTATAGTACAGTATGTTGATAGAAATGGAGGCCTGGAAAACGATGAGCCTTCCTACTTCATCCCTCGGTCGTGGTCGCTCCAAGGGGAACTGGGTCATTCTCAGAACACGACTCACGACCTCTTTCAGGCGGCACCTTGATCGGTCCTGAGCAATAGGATCGGTCCTTGGTGAGGATCAGTCCGACCGTGGGAGTCTCTATGTACGTGCTCCTCATTCGATCTCAAAGTCAAACGCTACATCAAAGACCGCCTGCATGGCTCGAACGTGTTGGGGATAGGTTGTGAGGGTCTATGTATCTTCAAGGTATTTGGGGCCGGGAAAAGGTCATTTTGAAGGGGTTGGCCGTTGACTTCACTTGCTGATTCCGGGTCAGAGTCCCAAAAAGACCTCTTGAGACCTTTGGGAGAGTTGTGGATAGGTGACCTACAATGTCCATCCCTATTTCTTGGGTTGGTCATACTTGACTCATGTAGCGTCCTGTCCTGCTGCGTAGCTCAATTCGGAAGACCGGAAGATCGATTCCGTTTCGACCCCGTGGGGGAACATGAACCCGTGGACTCAGTCAGGGCGGCCACAGGGGTCATCATGTACCCCATCCAACACTCGCGCCCGCGCCCCCCCACGCTGGACCACATGCAGAACTGCAGAACCCAACCCATGTGTCTACGAACAGAAGAAGGCCACCAGCACTAGCGCACCCAGCTGCTGCGCCATGCTGATGCTTCCTCCGCTATCGCCCTGAGGAAATGCCTCGCGCGCTTGGCGGCCCCTGAGGAGAGGGATCGTGACGGAGTTGGGATCCGATCGATCCGGGTGGAGGTCCAGGAACTGGTGAGATATAGCTAGAGAATGCTAGAGATCACACACATAATCACATATCATATCATATATATACCAGCACCCTCCGACAGGTCACCGATTGAGACCTCTTAGGCCTAACAACTCTCTTTAGGAGACCTGTTGGAGGGTGCTGGTAGTTTTATAAAATTTTGTATATGGTTACGATATTTTTGGGAATCCCCAATGCTGCCACTAAGGTTGCTTCGAAGATGCCAATTCGTAACACAAACGTGAACGAGCCAGCTCTCGGCGAACGTAAGCGTGGTTCCCTGGACATGTTATTTGGATGAGATTGTCCACATCACATGGTCCTGTATGCGTGAATGCTTCACCCGCATGAAAGTGACGCCCTAGCACAAGTGTCCATGGCAGATGATCACCAGTCAAATGATGTCACATGGGTTACTGCATTACAAAATCCATTCTTAAATACGTACGTATAGGCAAATACCTGGCAAAATACCAATACCAATACCTGGCAAAATACATCTATATTCTATTTCTCAAATACCAAATACCTGGCAAAATATGGGTCCAGTTGTTGATAGGCCATTCTTGCTTCCTCCGACACGGACACCGGCCGCTTCCTAGGAAGGCATCCAGTTTCGAGGGACCTCCGCCTCCAAGACGTCCGGCGCCCTGTTTCACAGGGACCGGGGGCTGGGGGCTCGGACTATTTTGGTGAAAGAGCTTGGTGAAAGGTGTGACTTGGAAAGCTTGGGGTTCGGAGGATCAAATCTGCAAAGCGCATGCAACGCCTTGGTGCCCTAAACGTGTACGAAACAAGGAGGAGAGTCGTGGATTTGCCAGGCCTGGGAGTCTGGGTTCAATGGTTGTGCTTCACAAGATTTTGCCAACCTATTATTACTTATTTCGGCACGAATCCAGGTTGGGAGCCTTTGGCAAGAGATGGATCTAGAAGAGGTGGACGCATGCGATGGTGAGGCAAAAGCTTTCAATTGGTGCCATCAATCAGGGTTGGGGCCCCATGTTGAAGGCAGATGATCGCCACAAGAAAGTTCAATGAACCTGGAGGCAACAAAAATCCGTTAATTGTGAACAAGTGCAGCTGTCAATCGGATGTCCGATTTCATGATGCAAACAAAAGTTCAAACCCTTGAAGGACATTAACACAATGCAAAGCCATATAAACAACAATGAAGCACGCTACATTCTCAACAATAAGTGGAAAAAAGCAGCTGTGGCGCCCCTCGAATCAATGTTAATTATTTGTTGCAAGTACAGCAACAAGGTGCAACAAACGAACGCAAGACAGTAGCATATGCATATGCACAGAAAGCGGAAATCTTTGCTAAAGCAACAATGTGAGCAAGAAGCCAGACAAGGTAACCTATAAACAAATGCGGAGGACACGGTGCTGCTTGTGGATCCTGTCTCAAGACAGATCCTCCATGTAGCCGAGTGTCGCAAGATACTTTTTGGGCATCTCGCTGTAGTCCCCCACGACTGTACCTTTATACTGTAACATGACATGATGATCCTTTTTCCTTACAACCCATCATGTTATACAGATCAGTAACTTTGCGTGTGATAGATTGGTGGCAAACCAGCCTTGGTCACGTTATAAGAATACACTTGGCCAAAATGTATTGAGGATGTTTCAGAATTATATGTGAAGAACCTTGATAACACAGCTTCAGATTTTGACATCCACTATATAATACCTGTATCCTGAGGAAATGGGCCCAAGGCTCCCCTGAGCTCTGGGATTAAATATTTATTTGGATTAATTTATCAAAATCGTACAACAATCCTGAGGAGGTTGGCTAACCAAGAAGTCGAACAAAACCTTTATGAAAGGTTGTTGGAGTAATTTGCTCGCCAGGGGGTGGATTAATTGTAAAAAGGGGGAAGCAGAATGTGGATGAATAAACTTGAAGGATAGAAAGAACTCGACTATTCATTGGGGCCAAGAGTTTGGAAGATTTTGGGGTAGGGACCATAGCATTAGCTTTAGCTGGAATAGGCAAATCACACCAGAAGACCAAAAGACGGAAAACACCAATAGAATGATACGTGATGTTATGGGTACTCCACGCAGTAACCAGATATTTTCAATAAATGGATTAATTGATAATTGATGTTTAAATAAACATAAACACATATTTAGAAATGTCGAAATAGTTATATATATCTTGTGAAACCTCAGTAAGTGGATTATAACCTCCTAAGTCAGATATGGGAAAAGGTAACAAATATTAGCGACAACCAAAGAGCAATCTTTGCTAAGTTGAATGAACTTACAGAATGTAAAGATGCTGAGGACAAGGAAGCTGAAAAGAAGAAAGTTTGAGATATTTTTGAAAAGAAAAGGATAGGAAAACCAAGGGGCACATTTGGAGAAAAGCAAAAGCAGTACTTTGAGATGGTAAAGTCTGGGAAGATAAAGAACCATTGCGTAGATGCTACTGCTATATTCTTCCCAAGTGGTGGATTTTGGATCCCCAGTCCTTAGCAATTAAAGTAGCTTGTTCCCCGCCATCGCCCATGATGCTCTTTACCACCCTCCTGTTGAGCGCCTTTGCCGCTGGCTACCATTTGCCTGAGCCTCCCAATTGCAGTGAAGAAGAACTCATGAACGGCTACAATTACACTCTTCGTGGCGGGTGGATGGACCTCAGTATGTATACCACATGGGTCCGCGACCGGAACCGACATGGCCGTACGGGAGCTTTCAACGCATTTCTCAACTTCACTTCGGCGGCAGGCATTTGCACGGAAAAAGATCTGGCCAATGCCACCCGAGGAAATGAATCACTCTTCTGCATCAGCACCCCGCTTCTTTTCTTCAGCCAGTGCCTCCGTGTCAAGAAATCGATCCCTTTGACCATGACCAATGTTCTTTCGTCCTGCCACGACTTTGAATTTATTGGATCAGACGTCCTGAAAGAGGCAAAGTTTCCTTTCGAGAGTCGCTTCTGCCACAAGTCCCTGCATGGTGACCTCACGAGGCTCCTTTTAGTGGGGACTCGTCAAGGTGCGGAGCGATGGATTGTGGAGACTTGCCATTGGATGAAAGCAAGGATGTGCCACAACCCTGAGATGATGATCCTTCGTAATTTCGTACCGGGATCAGGTTGATTCTAGTAATGCGACACTGGGACGCTCCCGTTTTGGTTGTACAGGATGACGCGCAATTTGTCCCTGAACGTGACAGTGCGTGCTCCATTGCTTTCTTTTGCCACGGGATGAGAGGTTCCCAGCTTGACGCTGACCACGTAGTTGCTCTGCAAAAAGTGATGAGGCGTTGTTGTGATTTATGGGGAAATGGTTTATCATTATTACATTAGGAGGAACTTCCAGAACAAAGACTATTTTCGGCTGAAACTTGTCGATGCATAATTTGATGAGCTCGATTTGGTCATCTACAAGGTTGGCAATTGGTCGATGATCGTTAAGTAGCAAGTTGGTGCCATCTTGGATTGTGACAGAGTTGAGTTCATGGTTGTTGTATTTATTCAGTACCCGCATTTTTTCTTTGCTAGTTGATCCGCGGTAAGAGTGCACTTGCACATCACAGGGCAATTCACGGTGGCGAATAAAACGGAGGTGGCCACTACCCACTATCAAATTGCTAGTTGAGGACTCCACTTGCTTGTTAGGGAAGTCACGTATTGGCAATTCTGCCTTAGGGGCGAATTGCTGTGGCGAAGGAAGCTTTTGAAGGAAGCAGGCATGTGAGGTGTGGGTTTATTGACCGACCCGCTTTAAAGCCCATGCACTATATCTCTCAGGCACCAGGGTCGGACTGGCGAGGCTGTTGATGTTGAACCCTCCAACCCTGTAGCAAATGGCCCGTGGCCCAGAAAAATTCCCTGCGACATGAAATCTGTGCCTTATCTTCCACGACATTTTTGGCTTTGATTCGATCACGGACCTATACCTTGAAGATCATTGGAAGACCCTTCTGTTGTGGTTCGAGTCATCTTAAGAGACGTTCCACATGTCAATGTGATGTTTGATGGGGCCAGCCTTAGGAATTCAATTGAGGTGGGGTAATTACTGTTGTTGGTCCTGGTGTCCAGGAAACTGTTATTGTTGGTCCTGGTTTCCAGGACATTGTGGTCTGAATGCTTAAATGCGGATGAGGATGGCCGAAGAAGAGAGAGAGCAAAAAGGCGTGAAATGAATCCAAGGGATGTGAGTGGTGAACCACCCTATCCGACTAGTCTCAAAATCTGCAGCTTAATTAGGTGGAGGCCCTCCGGATTAAATAGCTCACTTCCTAACTGATTGTTGCTTATGATCTTGTTGACACTAAAACCCCCTCTGATTAATAAGGCTCGAATTTCCTAATCCAGACCTGGAGCAGCTCAGGATTAAGTCGTTGAGGTACTCAGTCGTCTCTGCCATCTGGCGTCGCGAAGCCGTGGGGTGCATTCAGCCCGAGCGCCCGAGCGCGTTCGTTGGCTCCAAAAACACCTGCGACGGCGACGCTGAGAACATAAAGGCATCAAGTGGAAGCAGAGGGATAGTGTTGATTTCTGCGCGGCTCTTACATACCACAGGAAAGCGCAGATGCCACCAATCTTTGACATGTTTCACTAAGCTGTTCAAGCATACATTGAAAGATGGGTGGCGGAACGTGATCTTGATAAGCCGTAAAACTATGTTTGGCTCCCTCTCACCAAGTGTTCCCAAGCCTGGCATGTGGCAACTGATATTTCCACTTTGTTTGTTTGGTTGGTTTGGGTGTCACGCTCCGTTGGTGTGGGATGAAAAACCGGGCCCTTCTGAAAGGCATCCTTGCCTCTTCCATTTCTAGACCTGCCACTGAGCCCAACCCAGCGAGGACTCGGCTTGCAAGTATGCCCAGGCCAAGGGTTTGACCAAACTGGCGGTGGGGGCCCTGTAGCTCGAAGTGATCTGGGTAACTCGAGGTGATCTAGGAAGATGGGTAGCTCGAGGTGATCGCTTTTCCACGACGAAACACGTCGCATGTGGTCGGACCTTTGCCCACAAACGGCAGATGGGTCGCTGAGAGGACCAGGAAGAGCTCCCTGGAAGAGCTTGAGCCAAGAACAAGACCAGGAGATCCAGGTTTGTTGGGGTGTTTGTTCACCTTATGTTCGGAAGGTCCTTTCTGCATCCTGGTTATTTCTGGTCATTTCTGACATCTTCAACCCCTGGCTTTGGAACCCCTGTGGAAGTAGCCGAGTAGCCAACCTTGGCCAACGGAATTTGTTTTCAGGTGCTGTTACTCTCATCATCCCCATTTTGCATGAAACCTCCCGAGGCTGATCGCTTCTCCGGTGGTCGACGGATTTTTGTCGGAAACGATTGGTGTGCTGGGAAGATGGTGCTGCAAATCGTCTTCTTTGGGGGGGGGCTGATTCGGCCCAAATGGTGCGGACATTTTGAGTTGGTCAGGCCTTCTACGAGGGGGGAAAAAATGGGGACGAGCGACTCGGCACGCGGACGCGGTACTACGGCAGGTACCTGTTGGTGCAACTCCAACGGTACTACGTTGATGAGAAGTGGTGCCCTGCGAAGCTGGACTGCAAGGCCAGGGGAGGGGCGAAGCTGGTGGCGAGGTCGTGGTCGGTGCAAACGTTTTTGTGAAGTGGGATCTCATTGGATCTTCGATACACATGTTGCCTGAAACTTCACCGCCCTCACTTCCTACTCGTAGCGTGGAGCCTTGGAAGGCAGATCGCCACGAAAGAAAAGGTGTCTGAAACGTTTCATGTCGATCCTCGTGGATGCCTTCAATCGAATAAAAAAGCGGAAACTCATACCTGGACCTTCAAAGGGGTGTCCAATGGAGATCCCTAGGTAGTGGGCAAAAGGCTTCCAGCCAGGTGACCCCTTATGACCCCTTCGAAGGAAACTCACATGTCTCGTTCGTCTTGAAAGAGGAGACTCTCCCCGTCACCGCCGGGGGATGTCATGCTGTTGCTCGCTGTCACGAAAGCTGTCAGCCAGGTGCCCATGTGCGGGTGCTCGGGAGAGATAGCCAGCGCAGTCGGTGAAATCTTCGGGACATCCCCATGTGGGTGTGTAGTCAAATAAGAAGGCCAAAAGATGCCCAAACCATCCCAAACTCTGGTTTTGTTGACCTCCCCTGTTGAAAGTACCACAAGGCTGAGCGCACGCTGCTTCGTAGAAGTGATGGATGATCACACCTTGAATCACCGAACGGTGAAGGTCACCCGTTGTGCGAGTGTCTACGTTTTCCAAGCGCCGTAAGCTGCCGCCATGTCGGCGCCGAACCACTGGCGGTACGGACCCATGTGAAACGTGTGTCTCAATGCTTCCTTCAAAAAAAGTCGTGGGGTGGACCAGGTCATTTTTCTGAAAACCGACGGCATGTCATTCCAAGACCTGTCGGCACCTGTGGTGTTTGTGGGCCATGGCTGGTCATAGTGGCTCCGTCAGCTCGACTTGGAGGTCATCAACTCGGTCTCCAGAAAGGGGTCACTGACCGTTCGACCTGGATTCTGTGGACCTGCCCGGTGGGTTAGAGTTTGCCGGCCTTGGTATTGGCCTTTGTATGCCATTCTTTGGGTGCCAAACGCGTCGCCTGAAGCAACGCGCCGCGCCCAACAAGGCCTGAAACCCTGAGCTTGGAGCACTTGAGGGGACGAGGCCTGCAGACAGGAGCGGCTTTTG